CTGAGATTTATTTACTGCTAGAGGACATGTTTTCAGACTGACAAATTGTGCTACATGGTGACTGTGTTTGTGTTGCTTCTTCTCACCTTAGACGTTCTTGTGGCATAGTGGTTGTTCTGATTGAAATTGTACTTTTCAGGTGCCGACCTTCCTGGCAACTTGATGTCCACATTCAGATCATACTGAGGTTCGTTAGCGTTGATCCAGTACTCTGCTACAGCTTGATAGACCATTATAGTAGCCTGGAGAGAAGAAAGTGAGGGAGATAAAGAAAGGCAAAGGTTATAAGTTGGGATAATATGTATAAAATATCTGTATAAGATATTGATTGACAGGAAGTTTTGTGTTACCTGAGTTGATCCATAGCCTCCGCCCATCTTCCGTTGTGTGTTGAACCATCTCACAACAGGTCTGGCATCTTCAAAGTTCTTCATTAAAACAGCACAAGACAAGAGTAGAGTTTAAAAAAAATTATGGAAAAACATTTTTCAAAGGTACTTCAGAGTTTTAGGCTTTCTAATCTGCTTTTTGCTTTTTATTTGGGTATAATTAAAATCCAGTCCAGAAACTTTCCTAATGGAAGAAAACAGCAATGTTTTTCATAGTACATAATGAAGCTGTCTTATTTGTTTTCATTTGTGTTTGCACACAAAAACAACACGACATAAAACTAAATGGAGAAATTTACATTAAATAAATGGTAATTCGAGTACTTTGGAATGGTCCGATGGTATTTTAATACTGTAAAATAAATCTTCAATGACGACATGTCGTTAGTGGGGTTAGGTTAATTGGAAATACTAAATTGAACATAGGTGTGAATGTGTGATTGAATGTGAGTGCGACTGGTTGTCCCATGTCTATGTGTTAGCCCTGCAACAGACCTGCCCAGGGTGTACCCTGCCTCTCGCCCTAAGCTGGGATAGGCTCCAGCGACCCTGAAAAGGATAAGCGGAAGCAAATGGATGGATGATATAATTTAGACATGCTCACCTGAGTCTTGACAAGAGCAAGAAGAGCATAAGCTGTGGTTTCCAAAGTGTAAATGCCCCCTTTAGGTACAGGCCAGTGAGATAGCTCTGACAGACACAATCACACAAGTTCTATTACTATAATATATCTTGAACATATCTACCTCAGTAGTAAATTTGTGAATATAGTAAAAATGTGAATACACATTTTGTCAATAGAAAATTGTACTTAGTAGTCAGTATAATCTTTTAATGATATAAGTTTGCATATGGTAGAATACTGCATGTTGACCTTTTGATGACTTAGGCTGTTGTTCACTACAAGACTTGTTATAAATTTCTTCCCACAGCGATAGTGACAGCTGGACACTCTTATTTTCACTTCGTATCAGGCAGAGGAAGTCTGTTCTTTGTCACACGTGTACACACACATATAACCATCCACATTCCAATGTAAGGAACAAACGCACCCACTGATGTATATAAATAAAGACCAGGGCAGTGGCAGAGCGCGAGTCTTGGAGCCCTCACTCCCGTGCGAGTGCTATGTGGCTGCCCTTGCAAGTAAAACTGTGTGTTTCTCCTCTCTGATTCTCAGCTGAAGAAGTGTCTTAGAATACATCTCTTGACACATATCATCTCTGCCCCTAAGTGAGTTTTTAAGAGAGAGTTTCCCCTGTAAAGAGAGTTCCTGTGGATCTGTAAATATTGCAACCCTGGACACACTAACTGACAATTCCTTTTGTTGTCATCTTTGTTTGTAACTTTACTGTAAATAAACTCACTGTCGCTATCACTGGACCTGTTTTGATGTGACCCAAGATGAACTCACATCTTGAGTCCATTTGCACCATTAACAACAATTAACGCCAAAAAAATTATTGTATTTTAGCCTATGGTTATGTGACCTGTATTAGAGAAGGCAATTTAAAAGCACTGAAAATACCAGACCATTCATTTAACTAAGAGTTAGAAAAAAAATCCTCATGAACATACTTTTATAGTACAGTCTTTACAACTGTTTTTTTTGCAATTGACTGAAACAGTAACGATCATAGTTTATTGAGTCTCAACTCTGTGTGTGTGTGTGTGTGTGTGTGTGTGTGTGTGT